TGCTGAGAAAGACTGAAGGTCAAAGAAGAAGGGGACGGCAGAGATGGTTAGACAGTGTTATTGAGGCAATGAACATGAAATTGAGCAAACTCCAGAGCACGACGGAAGACAGGAGGGCCTGGCGTGATCTGGTCCATGGGGTCATGAAGAGTCGGACTCGACTGTGCGACTGAACAACAACACACCCTACTGACTGTGCTCAGTAAACAGCAGCATGCCTTGTTAAAACTCAAAACACCCACAGGATCTGCAACATCACTATCCTCTCAGAAGAGGGCCTTCTTGCTACCCACTTACTCCTGTTACTGTTTTGAGACTAGCTAAGCACAATTGGTGCAAAGACTGCAAGTATTATTGGTTTGCAGAAAGGATTTGGAGAATTCGAGGTGGAAGGAAAAGTAAATACTGGTAAAAGTGCAAAATGCAAAGTCTATCTGCTAACAATTTCCCCTTTTAAAAGCAGTATACTTATAAATTTTATGCAGTCTTTTGAATGCCATCTTTCACTTCCTCATTCTCCCCCAGACTTGCATGAGAGGCAGGAACTCCAAAACCCAGACTTATATCAGCACTATCCCAGGCTGAGTCAATCTGCAAAATAATACATTTGTTCACGGAATAACCCAGTTACAATAGTGCTCCTTCTTAGGATTGCCAAATGGGGGCGGGGGCGGGGAAAACCCCGCTTTGGAGGCCCGATTTCCGCCGCGGCGGAATCGGGTCCCGGGGGAACTCCGCCCCCCAAAGCTGCATCACCAGAGGTGACGCAGCCACGTTGCTAACGTTGGGGGCGGAGCTCGACCACGCCCCCAACGTCAGCAACGTCGCACTTCACTTCCGGTGACATGGTGGCGGCGCGCGCATATGGAGCCTGCTCCCGGACTCGTCGGAGCCTCCCCCCCGGTGAGTTTGCCAGACTTGGCAACCCTACTTCTTCTCCATCATGTAAATATCAGCATTGTGGTTGCATTAGGGATTGTATTAGGGATTGCATTAGGTATCTCAAACGGCATAAAGTGGGTTTACATAGCCTGTACCACTAGTCTGTAAATCAGACTTGCTTAGCTGATACTCAGCTACTTCCTAAACACATGCTAGTTCAGATGCAACCAGTTTCTTCCAGAAGATAGCCACATTATCTTTGTACCTGATCTCTCAGTGGTTTCCATGCATAGTAGTGAGCCATTAAAAGCCTGGGTGAATTTTCTCTGTTGTCCTACTGGCTTGGAATAGATTGTCTAGACTTTTGAGATACTCTGGGAATACTTCAATTTTTGTGCAAATGCCTAATCTTAGTATTCTGTGATCCTTTATCTGGGAGTAAGTCTAACTGAACACAATGGGTCTAACTTCTGAAAAAATACACATAGGCTTGCTTTGTATATATATCACACATCTTTAAGCATGACATAGCAGTACTGCAGGTATCTCTCATGCCA